GGGGAGCCCCCAAAGCAGGGCTGGGACCAGCACCCGCGGCGTGTGCCCATGGCTGTGGGCTCCCTCGGCTGTCCCTGTACCGGGCCAGTACGGGGCTTCTTCAGGACTCCCGGACCCCTCCAGACCTGGGAGCTGGGCCCCAACGGATGCAGAGGGGACACGGAGCTGAGCTGTGGCGAGGGGCTGTCAGCCTGGGGGGCTGCCCCAGAGCGAGACTCCCGAAGCCTGGGGCTGGCAGTGGGTGGAGACCCTGGGGGAGGCAGGAATCTCCCAACACCTGGCATGGAGAAGCCCCCTGTTTTCAGGACCCCCCCGTCCCAGCCAGCACTGCACGGGCTTGTCCCCTGCCCGCAAGTAGGGTCACCAGCACCCCTGAGAAACGGGATATACTTAGTCCCATTTCCCAGATGGAAACACTCTACCGTGCATGGGTGCTCATGTTATGCCCTTAAAAAAAAAAAAAGTGCAGTGCGGTCATGATACGAAGCTTTAAAAATGTACTTATTTAGGGACCAGAGAGATGGTCCGAGGGGAGGGCACTTGCCTTGCACACGGCTGACCCGGGTTTGATCCTGGGACCCCTCCGGTGATCAGAACCCACCCGGAGTGATCCCCGAGCACAGAGCCAGGAGTCAGCCCTGAGCACCGCCAGGATTGGGTTTCGCATCAAAACCAAACCAACATAAAGGCCCTCCCGTTGATCGTCGATTTGCTCGAGCGGGCCCAGTAACGTCTCCATTGGAGACTTGGTTGTTACTGTGTCTGGCATATCGAATACTCTCGGTAGCTTGCCGGGCTCTCCGAGAGGGGCGGAGGAATCGAACTCGGGTCGGCCATGTTGGCCGCTTGTAAGGCGAACGCCCTACCCGCTGTGCTATCGCTCCACTTATAATTTATTTATTTAGTTTTGGGGTCACACCCTGCCGTGCTCACGGCTGACTCCTGGCCCTGCACTCGAGGGGTGGGGGGTCACTCCTGGTGGGGTTTCTGGGCCTGTATACGTTGCTGGGAATCGAACCCGGGTCAGCGAGGGCTGCGCCCACTGGGCTAGCTTTCCGGCCCCCGGGGTTTCTGTTTTTAAATCCCGCTGATTTTACGGAGCAAAACAGGAAGTTCCGAGGATGCAGGGGTACAGGGAAGCGTCTCCACACACCCAAGGGTGCGCCAAGCCGGGACAGGTTCTAGAGCCCATTTTCGGGTCCCTCGGCCTCCTTCCCCATTGGCTCCCCGGGAACTAGAATGCGCGCAGGTGGGGTCCTGCCCATCTTGTCAGAGGGCCTGGACATCAGGGGAGGGCCAGCAGGGAGCAGCTGAGAACCTGACACCTTCCTGGGGTGGTCAACAAGGGGCATGGGGGCAGGGTGGCACATAGCCCGGGGCCCCAAGAATCTGCGTCAGAACCCAGGGCGCTCAGGCCAGCCCTTCCCCCTGCACTTCCGGCCCGATGGTCCAAACTGCTCTCCTGGGCTTCCATCCGGTCCCTACCTGGGCCACTTCCCCGTTTCTCCTCCCCTGACCTTCTTCCTCACAGCCCCGCCCTGTCCACTGGCATTTGCCTTATACGCGGCCAACCTGGGTTCAATCCTCAGCATCCCCTTGGGTACCCCCGAGCCCCGCCAGGAATGATCCCTGAGCACAGAGCCAGGAGTCAGCCCTGAGCGCTGCCCCAAACCAAGCACAGCGGTAGGGCGTTCGCCTTACAAGCGGCCAACATGGCCGACCCAAGTTCGATTCCTCCGCCCCTCTCGGAGAGCCCGGCAAGCTACCGAGAGTATTCGATATGCCAGACACAGTAACAACAAAGTCTCCAATGGAGACGTTACTGGGCCCGCTTGAGCAAACAATATATAAATAAAATATGCCCAAACCTCACTCGTTCCTCCTCTCTGTGGCTAACGCTGCAGCCCCCTCCCCACTTCCTGTCTACCTGGTTGGGCCGCACCCCGTCTCCCCTCCCTAAGTACCACGCGTGCTGGAATCAGCTCAGCACCCAGCTACCCTGCATAGCTCCAGACAAGGCTGGGGACACAGCCGGACATGTGGGCTGCCCGCCGGAGGCGCAGGTCCGGAGCCCTGTGCCGGAAGTAACCCCTGTTTGTTTGGTGTTTTGTACCTCACCTGACTGCTCAGGGTGTATTCCCGGCTCTGTGCCCAGGGATCACTCCTGGTCAGTGGCTGACCACCTGCCCTACCTCTGGAAGCAGTGCCTGGCTACTGCCAGGTGTGGCGCCCAACCTACAAAACACCTTCTGATGATATTGAAAATGTGCCGCACCCCCTCCCCCTGCTGGAGGCTCACAGACAGCCCCCCAACCTCTCTGACGATGGCAACTCCTTCCTTTCTGGTCTCCAAACATGGAGTCTTTACTGCCCCAGGACCTTGGCACGTGCTTTCTGAACCTTGAAGGCCTTTGCCCGCCAGTCACGTGGTTTCTCAATCCTCCCTTCTCTCATGCCATCTCAGCACCACCCTCTGAGCTCTGGGTGCGTGGAAAGATGCCCTTCCCTCCCCGTACCCTGTCTTTGGGTAGGAGGAAGCATGCTTGGTTCCCCGACATCCCAGTCAGGGTGCCGAGCCTTGGTCCTGCCTACCTGGAGACTCCTGAGGGCGGAGTCTGGGGTGGGTGAAAGAAGGATGAAGAATGAACGGACACCCAGGACCGTCTCACGGGGTCCTCCTGGGCCGCCTCCGTTGTGGAGCTGATATTGGGGTTCCCCAGGGCCCCCGGGAGGCCGGCCAGGGTGTGGATGCATTTTCCGCTTCCTCTCCCCAGGGGCTGCCTCCAGGGAGGCCCCGAGGGGCAGAGGCTGTTACTATGCCCACGGGCCTGGGGACCCAGCCCCAGGCAGAGAGGTGGGGCCCAGGAGGCGGCAGGCAGGGCTGGCTGGGGAGGAGGGGGGCCGGGACTCAGTTTCCCACCTGTGCCCGGGCCTCCAGCCTCCTGACTTCTTAGCTTCATCCTCCCCTTCTCCCAGGCGCGGCCAGGGGGGCCCGTGCTCCCTTGCTCAGGGCCCAGTTGAAGGACAGCGGGGTACTGAGGCCACCGGTCAAAGTCCGCAGGGCACGGCACGGTTCCACAGGCAGAAGCAGAAGCTGGGGGCGGCTGGGCGGGTCCCCAAGAGCCGGGACAGTGATCTCCAAGGAGGTGGGATGGCAGGCCTGCCCGCACTCAGCCCCCACAGCCAGCCTGATGGTGGCGGCACTTCCCGTTCTCGTGTTTACAAAGGGACTTCTCCAGCCCCGCCTGCTCCTGAGAAGGCAGGTGGCAGCTGTCCCCATTCCCAGGCCATAGATGGGGGAACAGAGCCCCCTCCCCACACAGCCCCCCCCATTGCTGGTTGGCCGCCGTACTCAGACTCTTGGAGGTGGCGCAGGGTGAGGACAGGGGGTGGGGTGGAGGGGGGCAGGTGCTCAGGAGGGCACAGACACCTCGCCCGGGTGCCATGACCTTGGACGGAGCATCTGACCCGGGACTCGACTCGGTGTCCTCGGCCACGGGATGGGCCCCAGGGCCCGGCTAGCGTGGGGAGGCAGCTGGGAGCAAGGTGGAAGAATTGGGGGCTCCTCTGCTCCCCGCCAGCGCGCACAGCCTGGTTCCCTCTGCTTGGCACCCCAGGAAATGCCCCCCCCATCTGCCTGTCTTAGCACTGCAGGACCCCGGCCCCCAGGCCCTTGCATGAACGAAGGGACCAGCAGAAAGGCCCATCTGCTTGCCCTTTGCTGGGTGTCTCCGGGAGCCACGGGGGTCACGTGAGCAGGAGGGGGGGTGGTCTGTGGGAGCCGGTCCCCAAAAGACAGACCGCCTTCCCCTCTGCTGACCAGATGGGCTGATGAGCCGCCCCCACAGAAACATGACGGGGGGGGGGGGGGGGACTCCTCCCTCCGGGGCTGGCACTGGGCCCCCAGAGGTCAACCCAGAGGCAGGGACCACCAGCACCGAGGTCAGCTGTCCCCAGGAGAGACGAGGATGGGGGGACAGGAGGCTCAGAGAGGGCTGACCACCAGGTCCGGAGTGTCTCCCCCAGAACCATGTCCCTAGGGTAGGGGGGTGGAGGTGCCAGGAACTGCAGTTCCCTGAACCTTGAAGGTCACTGAAGGAAAACTCGGGTTCCTGAGGAAGGGGGGGAGGGGGGAGGAGGAAGCCTGGGGGGGGGGGCAGTGTCAATTCTCAGCCTCCTCCCTCGGCCTGCCCAGCCCCCTCCCGCCCGCCCCCAGCCCGGGAGAGCCAGCCTCTCTCCCCGGGCACCCGCAAAGCCATCTCCCTGCCCGCCTCTGCTGGGAAGCCCTGGGGGGCGCAGATCCTCAGGGCAGCACCCCTAGGCCCTGGTCCTTGGCGGGTGCGCCCCCCACCCGCCCCGCCCTGCCCCCCACCTCCCCGGAGCCTCGGGGATCAGCCGGGAAGGGGATTATTAGGTCCTGCAAATGGCTCCCCGCGCCCGAACCGGCTTCTGGGCTCTGCCCGGGGGTCGCGGCACCTTCCCGCGGGCCCTCGCGGGCCAAGGGGAGCGCGACATTGACAGTCCCCCGGCGAGGGCTCGGGGCCCTCCCCCGCCGGCAGCCCGCAGCGCCTCGCCCCCCCCCCGCGCCGCGCTGCAGAGGTGTGCAAGACGGGGTGCGCCCAGGTCCGCGCGCACGCCGTGGGGGGCCCGCCGCCCCCTCCCCGGGACCCCCTGCGACCTAGCACCCCGGGTGCTGCCCGGGTGCGTCGGGGGAGGGCGCAGCCCCCGGCCAGGGCGAGGCGCCGTCCCCCCCGCCCCCAAAGGCTGGGGCGGAGGAGGAGGGGGCGTGATGCAGCGGCCGGCGGCGGGACGCGCGCGGGGGCGCGGGCACTGCGGCCCCCGCGGGGGCGCCCGGGGAGGGGGCGGGGGGCGCGCCGTCGGCGGGCGCCGCGCGGGGAGCTGCGGGGTGGGTCGCGGCGCCGTCGGGGCCGGGGGCGGGGGTCCGGGTGGGGGTGGGGGGTCCCGCGCCCCTCCCCCACCCCCGGGCGCGCCGCTCCTACCTGCCCACGAAATTCTCCAGCACCGAGCTCTTGCCGGCGCTCTGGCCGCCCACCACGGCGATCTGCGGCAGGTCGAGGTCGGCGTTCTGCCCGATGGCCGAGAAGGCGTCCTGCAGCCGGTTGACCAGCGGGATGAGGTCCTCCATGCCGCGGTTGCCCATGGCTGCGGCGGGCCCCGCGGGCTGCGATGCGGCCGCCGCTCGGGCTCGGGCTCGGGCTCGGGCTCCGCCGCCGCTGCAGCCGCGCGCTCCGACTGCCGGCGCCTCCCGCCCCTCGGAGCCCCGCGCGCGCCGCGCTGCGCCGCGCCGCCGCCAGAGGGCGCCCGCTGCGCCGCACCGCACCGCGCCGCGGAGCCGCCGCCGCCGCCGCTGCCGCCGCCGCCGCCTGCGCACGCGCGCCCCCGGGCACCCTGGGCCTGGTAGTTTTCTCCTGCTGCGGCTTTCGGGGGCGCGCTGGAGGGGGGGCGGGGGCGCAGGGATGGTGCGCCGAAAAAAAAAAAAAAAGAATCCGTTCCTGGAAACGGACCAATCTCAGCCTGCTTCCAGGCCCCCTTTAGGATCGCGGCCGGGGCTGCAATCGCTCCGTCTTACGGATTGGGGAAACTGAGGCTGGGAAAGGCGGGGCAGGAGCGGGGAAGGGGGACACTACAGCGACGACGACACGCACACGCGCTCGGTCAAGGTCACAGTCTCCCGACCTGGAGCCTCCCCCGGGCCTCAGGCCTTCTACTCTAGATTCACACACACTGTCTTTTCCAAATGGGCCCTTCCTGTGGCTGGGCCTCAGTTTCCCCGCTTCCAGGAGGAGAAAGGTGCATCGCACAGCTACCAGGAGCAAGACTCACTGCCCATCCCACTCGCAGTGAGCCAGCCACAGGCAGGCCTCACTCCCTTGCATCTTAACACTCAGGTGGTAGATGGACACCGCGGGGAGGGAGGGGGCAGCTGACCAGAGTCCCATCCCTGGCACCCTATGTGGCCCCCCCAAGCTCTACCAGGAGTAAGTCCTGAGCACCCCATCTGGTGTAGCCCAAGAAACAGAACACAGGAGCTGGGGAGTTAGTACAGTGACTAAGGCGCTTGCCTTGCACGCAGCCGACCTAGATTAAATCCCCAGCATCCCATCTGGTCCCCTAAGCACTGCCAAGAGTGATTCCTGAGTGCAGAGCCAAGAGGAATTCCTGACCATTGCCTGGTGTGGCCCAAACTGCCCCCCAAAAATATATGTAATAACGAAATAAAACCAAATTGATGAGACGGTGAAAGCAAAGTGATTTATTCTCAACAGGAAGTAAAAAAATAAACAGGAACTGAAGAGGGAAAGCTCTGAGGGGCTAAAAAGTACCCTGAAGCCGCTGGAGAGACTGAACAGCAAGGAGGGTGCTGGCCTTGCATGTTGCACACAAGGGGTCAATATGGTCTCCGGCATCCCATCTGGTTCCCTGAGCACTGCCAGGAGTAATTCCTGAGTGCAGAGCCAGGAATGGGCATCATCAGGCATGGGCATCATCAGGCATGGCCCAAAAACCAAATAAATGAATAAAATTCAAAGTGCCCTGAAGCCTAGGAGGAGGACAGAGAGTCTGGAAAGAGATGATTTGGGGATGAAACCTGAATGGGAGGAGGAGAGCACAGCTGCAAAGCCCCGGGGTGGCAGGGGAGTGACCCCCCCACACACACTCAGGCCACACGAACAGCAAACACTAAAGCCTCCTGGGGGAGCTGGTCAGGCTTTGCGCCAAGGCATCCTGGTTGTGGAACAACTTCTAGCTTGGGATCCAGAGTCCTCTGTCAACACTGTTACCGCCGTCACACAGAGAGAGAGACCAGGGTCCTCGCACTCGTCATCCACCTCTGCATTGAAGAAACCTCCTCACTCACCACGGGGCTTGGGAAAGGGGGTTGCTGGGGAGCTGTGATGTTAATCCGTGTATCCGTGCAGCATGGGTCACGGTGCTGGGGTCCCAGGGGGTGGCTGTGAGCAGTAGTCTGCAGACTGGAGCCTGTCAGATGCATAGTTCTCCTTTTGGGGGATTTGGGGGTCACTCCCGGCAATGCACAGAGAACCATGTCATTCTGGCACGAGACCCGAGGTCCTGCTTGCATGGCGGGAGTGGGACCCACTCTTTTTTTTTTCTCTTTGGGTCACACCCAGCGTTGCACACGGGTCACTCCTGGCTCATGCACTCAGGAATTACTCCTGGCGGTGTTCAGGGGACCATATGGGATGCTGGGAATTGAACCCGGATCAGCTGCTGCATGCAAGGCAAACACCCTACCTGCTGTGTTATCGCTCCAGCCCCCCGGGGCCTACTCTGGCCTCTCCTCAAGACAACAGTAAAGCAGGACACAGCCCCAGACTGGGCAGCAGGCCCTGAAAGCTCTGTCCATCCTCCCACCCAGAGCTCCCATCCCTTTGGGACATTTGCCTTAACATTTCCTCCATTTATGCTGCTTGGTTTCGTTTTACTCCCACAGGATTGGGCTCTTGTGGTTGATCCTGACTTCTGGATCCCCAATGTCAGCCCAGCCCCCCTGGGCAGGACTTGGAGTTTGCCAGAAATGCAGAATCTCAGGCGTTAAGGCCTGTTGGGGGGCTGGGGCAATAGCACAGTGGGTAGGGCGTTTGCCTTGCACATGGCCGACAGGCGTTCGATTTCCAGCATCCCGTATGTTCCCCTGAGCACCGCTGGGGTAATTCCTGAGTGCAGAGCCAGAAGTAACCCCTGTGCATTGCCAGGTAGACACAAAAAGCAAAAAAAAGAAAAAAAGTCCTATTGGGTAACAATGTTTCCTTGGGGCTGGAGCATAGCATGGCAGGCAGGATGCGGCCAACCTGGGTTCAATTCCCGGCACCCTTATCTGGTCCCCTGAACCCCACCGAGAGTGATCCCTGAGCACAATGCCAGGAGTAACCCAGAGCACTGATGGGTGGGGCCCCAAAACAAAATAAAGTTGAAGAAACTCAGTTTGATATCATTTTTCACAAATTGCTCTTTCCTTGTGTGTGTGGGAGACTTGGTGCCACTCAAGGTGTATTCCTGCCTCTGCTCAGGGATGATCCCAGGAAGTGGTCCAGGGGTCCTATGAGGTGCTGGGAATGGAACCGGGGTCAGCCACATGCAAGACACGTCTTTCAACTCTGCACTAATCTCTCTAGACTGCCACTTGCTTTGGTGGTGAATGCAGAATACATTCCATTATCTTGGGGTGCTAGCCCCTGAATAAACTCTCTCTCCCTCTCCGTCTCTGTCTGTCTCTGTCTGTCTGTCTCTCTCTCTCTCCTGGTGGTACTCAGGGGGTACACAAGGCTCTGTACTCAGGAATTACTCATAGCAGTGCCCAGGGGATCATATGGGATTCTGGAGATTGAGCCTGAGTTGGCCGTGTGCAAGGCAAGTATCCTAACCACTGTACTATCTCTCTACCCCCCAAATGAATGTTATCTCATGTCAGTCCTATCTCTTAAGCAATTAGCGTTGGAGTGGTAAGCACTCAAGCTTGGGTTCAGTACCTACTCGACCTAGATAAATCCAGGTGCTGTTGCTTTGTGCCCTTGGCTTATTTTTCTCTCTCTTGTGAAGCCCTACTCTTATAGGCCAGGCCTAAGAACACAGGAAACCCTTCATCTCCCTGTCTCTTTGGAGGTCTGGAAATAAGTAGCCATAGACTAATGCTTTCTGGTGAGTGAATGATTAAATAGATGAATCCCGGAGGACCAGCACTGTCCACTGTAGCACTGTCCTCCAGTTGCTCATCCATTTGCTCGAGCGGGCCCAGTAACGTCTCCATTGTGAGACTTGTTGTTACTGTGTTTGGCAGATAGAATATGTCATGGGTTGCTTGCCAGGCTTTGCCGTGCGGGCGAAATACTCTCGGTAGCTTGCTGGGCTCTCTGAGAGGGGCGGAGGAATTGAACCTGGCTCAGCCACGTGCAAGACAAACATCCTATGGCTGTGCTATTGCTCCAGCCCCCCCCCCCCCCAAAAAAAAATGTGTTTGTTGAGAGTTCAGCAGGAAAGGATTTGGTCACTTGTTTTTTTGGGTCACACGGGGCGATGCACAGGGGTTCCTCTTGGCTCATGCACTCAGGAATTACTCCTGGCAGTACTGGGGGGGATCATATGGGATGCTGGGAACTGGCAAACACCCTACCTGCTGTGCTATCACTCCAGCCCCAAGTCCTTCTGATCGAGGCCCAGCCCATGGACGGTGTGAGGCCTGTTGTGGCCCCTGGTGCGCCGGGTCCCTCCGACGCCGCTCGTGGGGGGCCCAAGTCCCGGAGGACCAGATCCCCCAAAAATGTAGTGACTAAGTGGAACTGTAGAATAAGAGCACTACTCCATTCATTTTTATTTTCTTTTTGGGTCATACCCAGTGATGCTCGGGGTTACTCCTGGCTCTGTGCTCAGGAATCACTCCTGGCGGTGCTTGGGGGACCATATGGAATGCCAGGGATTGAACTTGGGCCAGTCGCGTGCAAGGCCAAAACCCTACCTGCTATGCTATCACTCTGGCCCCTGTATTTCTTTTTCCCCCTATTTTTTCTTTCCTTTTTTGTTTTTATTTTTGGGTCACACCCCACTGCACTCAGGGCTGGCTTCTGACTCTACTCAGGGACTACTTCTAGCAGTGTTCAGGGGACCATATGGGTTGCTGGGGACGGAACCTGGGTCGGCAGCATACAAGGCAAATATCCTGCCTGCTTTCCTATCTTTCTGGACCCAGAGGGCTGGTTTGTTTAGTTTTGTTTGAGGACTCTCCCAGCAGTGCTCTAAGCACAGAGCCAGGAGTCAGCCCAGAGCACAGCTATGTGTGGCTCCAACATAAAAACCGAATGAACAAAAAATAGTTTTGGCCATCTCTCCAGCCCTCCTCATCCATTTTTAAAAATACTAACAGAGTGCTGGAGCGATAGCACAACGGGTCGGGAGTTTGCCTTGCATGCGGCCGACCCAGGTTCGATTCCCAGCATCTCATATGGTTCCCGAGCACCGCTAGGAGTAATTCCTGAGTGCATGAGCCAGGAGTAACCCCTGTGCATATCCGGGTGTGACCCAAAAAAAATTAACAAAAAAAAAAAATAGAAAGTCAGCTCTCTTTTTTTTCTGGCTTTTTGGGTCACACCCAGTGGTGCTCAGGGGTTACTCCTGGCCCTGCACTCAGGAATTACTCCTGGTGCTGCTAGGGGGACCATATGGGATATTGGTGATCAAACCTGGGTTGGCCGCATGCACGGCAAATGCCCTACCCACTGTACTATTGCTCCAGACCCAGAAAGTCAGTTCTCA